GAATGAATGGAAATCCAAAATCTCTGTAAATGTTCATTAAAATTATTAAAATAAAATCTAAAGAAAAAAAAAGAGTGGCCTTTAATACAAGTGAAGAGGCATAGTTAAAAAAAAAAAGCAATGTAAATAGCCCAGAGCCAACAGGGAGGGGAAAACCTATCCCTGAGAACAGGCACCAAAAGCACTCGAATGTCGACATGTCTAGAATAATTTATCAATTACACCATAATTTTAAGATGATACAGATTTTCTTTACGGTTCTCCCAGTTTTTTCCTGAGCCCTCACTGGAACTGCTGATAAGGTTCGTATTTCTGCCAACAGTCTGTAAGATGATCTAGGTTATTTTAGGTATCCTGGTGACAAAGCTTTGTCCCATTTTGGGCATGATGCTAGAAGCAGCTATTCCTTGGAGAGGGATATCATGCTTGGAAAGGTAGAGGGTCAGAGAAAGAGAGGAAGACCCTTAAGCAGATGGACTGACACAGTGACTGCAGCAATGGATTTTTGCATGTTTCAGAGATTGTGAGGATCGCATAAGATAGAACAGAGTTCAGATCTGCTTTCCATAGGATCGATTTAAATACTTAACTCAATGGCATCTAACAACAACAATAATTAACAGAACTATCGCCAAGTCGGTGGATTAAACAAAGAGAAGTTTATTCTTTCGCAATTTGGGAGGCTCAAAATACTGAGTGTTGACTCTAAGGGAAGACTCTCTCTGTAGGTTCTAGAAAAATGTCCTGTTTCCTCCTAACATCCAGTAGCCCTGTCCTTGGAGAACTCCATGTATATTGGCCCTCCTCTGTGCAAAGAGGTTCCCAGTATAGATACCAACATCCAAATGATATGCTCCACTCTAAGCTCTTCTTCTCAGTGGTACTCAGATCCTTCCTACTCAAGCTTCTTCTAATTTTATATCTTAAAAGGTGTTTCAGGCCACAGCCCAAGGAAATGCCTCTTCCAATAGATAGGGGTTATGATAGAATTACTAGCATTCACCCTATCATTGACAACAGAATGGCTTATCAAATCAGGGGAGCTGTTGTTGTTGTTGTTAGGTGCAATTGAGCCGCCTGTGATTACTCATCACATGTAATTGCCCCTCAACACAAACACACATTACTGTGGGACACAATCCAATCCTTGATAGTGGACAATACTCCAAGTCTGGAGGGCAGGACAATTGCTCACTTCCCAGAGAATTACTTTCTAGATTTAAAAGCTAAAATAAATTGATCTGCTGAGTTTGAGACTTATTTGATATCCATTATCCCTTCATTCTCTCCAATTTCTCCTCTTTGTAACGGAAATATCTACATTGTGTCTATTCCATCATTGTATTTTAGAATGGAATAATTATGTCTATTTCAGAATTTTGCCCCAGAATGGAATTTGCCTACTAAATAAAGTCTCACCCATATTTGATTAAGATAATTCCAAATGAGTTTGGACTTGGAGTTGATTTTAGACTTTTGGGATGATGTGATGATTGGGAATGAGTTAGGCATGTGGGAAGGATAAAAACTAGGAGGGAGCGAAGGGTTAAATGTTTGAATCTAACTGTGTTCACCAAAATGTATTGCAAATGCTAGTTCTTGTATATCTGTGCTTATAATCCCATCTGAGATTAAAAAAAAGAGATTAAACAATCAAGTAAACAAGCAGACATGAAGGAAGATCCAAGATCTTAAGGAACAGAAGCTGAAGCAAAAGACAAGAACCTTCCTTGGAACTGATAGAGAGAAAAAGGCTCCCCCTGGAACTGGCATCCAGAATTCAAATGTCTAGCCTCCTAAACAAGGAGAAAATAAATGTTTGTTAAAGCCATCCATTTGTAATGGTTTTATTATAGCAACACTAGAAAACCAGGACAGAACCTTGTGACTTTAGCTCAAATAGAAAGTAAGTAAAATTATTTTGTAAAAAGTCACCTACAATGAATATATTTCTCAGAAAAGGAACTAGTCTGTTAGCCTTATTTCCTCACTATTTCATGTCTTTGTGCTTTTTACATGTTATTACATCATTTTTGGAGCTCTGGGGGCTTAGTCCACGGGGAATTGCACTGTTAACCTCTCTGACGGTCCAAATCCCTGAGCAATCTCCTCTTGTGCGATTTACAGTTACAGGAAATACACGAGAAAGTCAGTTATGTATTGGTTCTGGCTCTAGAGCAACGAGTTGAGTTTGAATTCGATAAATAATTACTCTAACATTACTGAGAATTTCTGACATCTAATAAGAATATTTTAAACTCAGAATTACTTATGTCTTAAATGAAAAAACTGAAAAGAAACCAGTTAATTAATTTACATTTAAGAACACATTAGTACTCAATGAATGGGATTTTCTTTTTTTGTCTAAAAAGTGTAGCATAAAAATTCAATTCTTTCCAAAAGAATCAGAACTGCCACTCAAGCAGATATGCACACCCATGTTTATTGCTGTTTTGTTCACAATAGCAAAGTGCTGGAAACAACCCATGTGCCCATCAACAAACCAATGGATAGAAAAGCAATGGTATATTCACACAATGGAATATTATGCAGCACTGAAAAACAAAGAACACATGAAATGGGTGACCATGGAGGACATTATGCTGAGTGATATATCTCAGTCACAAAAGAACAAATATTACATAATGCCACTGTTATAAAACAAGACTGACATGGTGGTTGGAGGGGGTAAATTAAGAAAAGAGGGGATAAATAATGCACATAGCATTGAAACAGACAAGGGAGAGAACTGTATAAAAGAAATATATGATTAAGTATTATTGGCATGACAAGAGTCCAGAATAAGAACTGCATAATAAAGTGGTCTGGTGGTGGTGGGGACTCTATAACAAGGAAAGAACTTTTTTTTCCAAAGAAAAAAGCAAATTGAGGTCAGGGGGAGGGAGGAAAATGAATGAATGGAAATCCAAGTTCTTTATAAACTTTCATTAAAATCTCAATCAAAGTAATTCTTAGTCATATTCCAAAATTTCTATAATTGTGTTTCATTGATTATATGCTCTACTTTCATGCAGTCTCTTATAAAGTGCCTTATCACACAACATATTGTGATATTTTATTTGAAGTTTTAATTTTTAAAACAAAATAAAAACAAGAGCAATAATACTTAAAACTAAAAATATTAGCTCTCAAGTCTTCAGGATAGTAAAAGGGGAGAAACAAAGTTTATTAATGAAAACATTCTCTACTTTAAGCCTTCCTGTGATATGAGGGACAGAGGCAGTCCTGAGAAAGAAATATCCCCCTCATAGTCTCAGTGGCTTAGTGGAGTGACCAGCCCGTCTCAGACCACAGATTCTCACCAACCACTGAGCATAATCCTTCCTCATTTCACCCTTCTGTTACCACACTTTCCTACTCTAAATTTTTTCTCCTTTTAGAAGTCAATTTTTTTTTCCTCTCAGAAAAGTCAAACTTTCGAGAAGAGTAATATGAATCAAAGATCTGGATATTTTTTCCTTTGTAATTCAGAAGCTCCAGTTTAATCAGGTTAATTAAGAGCAACAAACTATATCCTGACTTAGCAACAAACTATATCCTGTGTTAGATCCACAAAAGCAACATACACCATCACATGGAACCAGCTGTGAACCATATGGTTAAATAAACCGCCAGGTGATCTTGTCCCTTACCTGAGTAGAGTTGTGAAGACTTAGATCTAAACCACAGGTAAACTCTGTATGATGTTCCACTGTTTCAAGAAGGGGATCAGGCTTGGAAAAGTCCCAGAATCTGAATATAAACAAAAAGAAATAATTTAAAGTTGTTGCTAAAACTATCATGGACTCCAAAAGAACAATTTATAAGAAAACAATATTATCTGACATGGTAAAGATTAAAATAGTCGCCACCAATTCATAAATGCATCGCTTGTTACTGATCTACATTAAAAAGTCTTATAAAAATGTACTATATCTTATTATACCAGAAAACAAAACAAAAAGGAGTCCTTCATCTCAATCTATAAAAGGTAATTATATTTCCATTAGTATGCCTTGTAGGATGGAAGCTAAACAAGTTTCAGTGAAATTTTTATTTTAATATTGTAAAAGGACATTTGGGATGAGAGACATGTTGCTTTTATTGTAATTTTTAAAAGCATTCATGGATGCAAAATAAGGATATTGGGTTCGATGAACTCTAACATTTTGTGATTTTAAATACTACTTCCTTTCTCAACAAATGACAGGAAAAGATCTTGGGTTTAATTTACATTTCAAGAGCAATTCAAATTCTTTGAAAAGAGTATGTTCTCTAATGAACATTACTGGAATTTTGAAACCATCTTTTTTTTGAAGTACTCTTTCTTGAAGATTCCACATCAATATAATTTTTAGAGTTAAGAAAAACACAAATGTATTTTCCTGGGCCAATATTAAGTATTTTGTTTACCTCTTACAAGACTCAGAATGATATTATTTACCATAATATATCTCTGATTTCTGCTGTACAGAAAAGAATCTGGTCCTAGTTTCAATATATAAAGCAGTACTTAATTTCTAAGACTTTATATGATCATCTTCTTTCATTTGATTTTAAGCGCATCATAAGAAAAAAAGGTACATTTAGAATCATATCCTAATTCAGTCTCTCTACTAATCTAGATCATGGAACAAGTTGAAGTGTTAGCAGGTCCCTCGGGAAGAGAGTAAATACACAGAACCAACACTCAGAGTTTGTTTAATCTAAAGACATCGTTTCCCTAATAAATACACAGTTGGACCTATTAGGCTTTGAAAAGGATTGTTGCTATGGGTAATCCATTGTGTGGGTACCTGAGGAACAGTGAATAAATAGTTCATTCATCAGATTACTGAAATCTACAGAATACTTAGAGAGAATGATTATACTTTGGGAAAACTGCCTGTTTAAAACACATGAAGTGAGCTGTATGTTTATAAGAAAGCATAGTAAAAATGGTCTCCAACCATCATTGCGTATTTGTTCCTTCAGGTCTTACTGTTGTTGTTGGGTGCCATCGAGACAATTTCAACTCATGGTGAATCCATATGACAAAGCAGAAGTGCCCCATAGGATTTCAAAATTGTAGCCTTTATGAGAGCAGGCTAGTACATTTTTCCTCATTACTGCTGATCTAGAGACTACAGTGAACAACACAGAAATGTAATTTGCTGGATTTTAATACTGCTTAAATAAGCAAAATAAACATGTATTTGTCTGATTGAGTTTCTTAAAATACAGTTGTTCAATGATTTGCATTCTTAGAAACAACATCATCTTGTATATAGTCATTATGTCCTCCCAAATATTCAAAATGCTTAAAAATATGCATGTAATATAGTAAAATAAATAAATTTAAAGTGTGTTACAAAAATTAAGGACAGGAAACCAACGGGATTGCAAACAAAAATACACAAGAGTTAAATGTGCTTGACAGAGGAAGATATTTGGATGCCCTGCAGACACATGAAGAAATGCTCAAAATCACTGCCAATACTGTTGTAAAACAGAACTGACATCAGGGTTAAGGGAAGACAGAAAAGGAGGGAAGGAATGATGTATATTGCATTGAAACAGATGAGGGATAGAACTGTTTAAAAGGGACATGTGAATGGGTATTATTGTCATTACAGAAGTACAGAGTGAAGGCTGCATAGTGGAGTGGCCTTGGGGGGAGGGATTGCATCAACAATGAAAGAGTTTTTCTTTTCAAGAATAAGAGTGAATTGGGTGAGGGGGTAGGTAGGGAGAAAAAGGAAACAATGAATGACTGGAAACCCTAAGTCTCTGTAAACTTTCATTAAAATTAATTTAAAAAAATCACTGGCAATAAGAGAGATGCAAATCAAAACCACAACAAGATACCATCTCACTCCAATAGTAGTGGCAAAGTTTAACAGGAGAGCAAGGAATAAATATTGGAAAGGATGTGGCAAAATAAGAACTCTTATACATTTTTTGTGTGTTTTTTAAATTTTTATTTATTTTATACTGATTTATTTATAAAGTTCAGATACACTGTTTTCCACACTGGATCCTTCCCATTTCCTTGACCTCCCCCAACCTATCAAATTGTGCAATCCTAGGATCAACCACCACCATCTTCAAACCTCTGCTTCAAAGGGAGCTCTCGTGGCCTAGTGGCAAGAAGCTGCACTGCAAGCCCAGAGGTACGTGGTTTGAATCCACCAGATGCTCTGCTGGACAAGGAGGGGCAATCTTCTCCTGTACCAGTCAGATCTGATCTGACAGTACACACACATAAAACAATACAATAATTTAAAAAAAAAAAACAAACCTCTGCTTCCTCCGTCCCCCCCTCCCCGATCCTCATATCCATTCTACAATAATGGTTTATACAGTATTTATCCTTATACAAGTGAGTTAGTTCACTCAGAATAATGCTCTCCAGTACCTCCCAAGTTGGGTAGAAATTTACAAAACCATTGCTTATGCATGCTGCATAATATTCCACCACATGAATGTACCAGATGGGGAAAAAGAGATAAATGTGTTTGACTGAGGACTGCCTCAGAAAGGCAGGTTTTCTTTTGGCCAAAGAGAAGAGGGAGATTAAGGTCTAGATTAAGTCACTAAATGGCTCTTGGAAAGCTTAGAATGAAATTCTCCCTTAGGGACTCACAGAGAAGACTCCAGACTTAAGTAATGAAGAACACCTTCAACAGCTTTTAACTAACAAGAGAAACGTTGCTTCTAGGGCAGCTGCTAATGAGTGAGTCACCACCATCAGTTATCGGCATCACCCAAGGGGGCAATTCTGTGCAATCATTCTCCTAGAAGATCAATGTAACATAACTCAGGTATTCAGTTCTCTAATTTGTTTCAGTAGAATGAGCTAAATATTCTTTAGGAAAGCTACAAGTACTGTTTTCTTTCAAAGTAAATGTTAACACTTCAAAAATTATAATCAATGAGGAATTTGGTCATACCCTCCTGACAAGTGCCTAGAATTCAGTTTTGGTTTTTTTGTTTTGGGAGAGCTACAGAAAAATTGCACTGGGTAGACAAACAAGGTTTTTTAAAAAATCAAGGTTCATGGGTAAAAACAATCTAAATACAGCACCATGAAAGCACACATGGGATTAAAAAAAAGGAAATCTGAATTTGCTTAATATACATTTAAAGGGGCAATTAAGACTCCACATGGTTCGATACCACCAAATCACAGCTATAATCATTTTAACCTGGGTAAAATGGTCAAGTATCTACCTGCATTTTGGGGGAAAATATCAAATTGAAATGCCCTAAAATTGTGCAGGGGTCCTCTGTTGAGAAGAGAAGGTGAATTGGTCATGTGAGTGGTAAAACGGTACAACTGGCCAGTAAACTATCTCCCATTTCTCACAGAAATGATGCCACGCACAGGATTTCCAATGTACTGTATCTAAAAATTACAAAACGACCATTTATAAAAGTATAGCAAGCTAAGTACCTAGACCAACATTCTTACTGAAAACAACAAGAAAATCCTTGATAAAATACAAAAATAAACAACAATAATCACAAAAGCACTAGTAAATGAATGAAAAGGTGAGAAACAGTTAAATATCTGTGTGAAGGTTAGAACAGAGTAGCAGATGGAATAGAAGCCAGATTCTGCCTTGAGAAGCTAAACCTACCAGAAAGAACCTAAGCTTCAATCTTCTTAAACCTCAAAGAGATGAGTAGCCATAAAAATCAATGCTGATAAGTATAATTTAAAAATCATTCTTAATAAAATATCAAATTACACACTAAGTAAGTTACACACTAAATAAGCTGAAAGACTCAAAAGCTCAGCAGGACACTCGTAAGCCATAATTTATTGTTTTTATCACTAGTGATTCTAACTATAAAAAGTGTACGAGTTACAGAACCTAACTTAAAAATGTACACTTCCTCTTGTGCTGTCAGACAGAGCTTCAAAATCCTTGCCTCCAAGGAGCAGCTTGGTTTCACCCTCTCCAGGACGGATCTGTCTGTTCTCTTAGCAGTCTATGGTATATTCAATGCTCTTCTCCAGCATGACAGCTCAAAGGCATTGATTCTTCTTCTGTCATCCTTAGTCATTGTCCAGATCTCTGATGCATAGCAAGTAAGGGGGAAGATCATGGCCTGGATCAGGAATGTCTTACTCTCTAGACTGACATTATTGTTCATCACTGCTCTGCAGAGGCCTCTGACAGGATATTTACCCAGTGCAATTTGTCTTTTTATTTCCTAGCTGTTGGTACCAAAAGAGGAAGATCCTGGAAGACATGGATTGACTCCAGTAACTATGGTAATGGGTGTAGGTATGTCAGAGATAATGAAATTGGCTAAAAATAGACCAGGGTTCAGAGCTGTTATAGGATCACACAGGGTCATTTTGAGTCACAGGCAACTCAACAGTATATAACAACAATGACAACAACTCAAAATTAACCAAACTAAAGGTTAAAACACAAAATTATAATCAAGGGGGGGGGAGGAAGGAGTCCTAGCCTATACCATAAACTACACCTTTTAATTATTTTATTGCTATAGATAAAATCTTGAATGATCCAGGAAGTATTAAAAAAAAAATGGAAGCTACTGTACTAAATAATTGGCTGACAGGGAACCATTTCAGGAAGTAGCACAAGACCAAGAACCAATGGTAATGAAGGAAGATGTTTTAGCTGCACTGAAAGCAATGGCAAAAAAGGTGGCATCAAGAATTGATGGAAAACAAACAGGTTTTTCAACACATGGATGCGGCCCTGGATGTGCTCTCCATGCTGTGCCATGAA